TGAACAAATCTATTTTGTGAGAGATGCTATTTTTTTTTTTGTCATAATAGGAGCCTAATAGACTAATCATTTGTTAAAGCAGATCGATGTTATCAAGGTGAAGAGTAAGCCTAAATAGACTAATCTTTTTAAATGTATTGCATTTTATTTTATTATATTATAATTTTTTTTTGTTATTCGATATGAAATAAATGAAATTTGAATAAAATTTTGAGGGGTTAGAAAATACCTTAAATCTTAAATTTTCCCTATACTTGTGATTTTCATATGTTGCATGTTCTCGCTTGTGATTTCTGCCATCGCCCATGCTTGTTTTTGTCCACATTTTGATACATTTGAAATGTATCATAAAATAAAAATAAATATTTTATTGTATTTGATTTACATTCAATTAAATCTATATTAGTATTTATAAAAGTGGCTTATGATTTTCTCCATATTAAATTCCAACTGTTTATCTTATTTGATTTGTTGATTTCAATCCTAGTCATACAATGGGAAGTCTTTGATTTTCTGTTTCATGCCATTATCAATGTTTCATAACATGATTGCAATATGCGATATTTAGGCTTCGTTTGGAGCAGCTTTCTTATTGCTTTCTGAAACTGCTTTCTAGTATAAAAAATTCTAGTCCAAAAAATTTTTATACTAAAAAGTTATTTTTGAAAGCAGCAGAAAAGCTGTCTCAAACAAAGCCTTAATCTGCTGCACTTACTCTACTTTGGTTCTATTGTTTTAGTCCTTTATCGTAGCATAATAAGAAGTATTTTAGTTCTTTAAAATTTAACAAGTCTAAGAGTTTGTACTGATTTTTCAACAACAGCCAGTGTTAGCCCAAAGCTTTTCTTAGAAGCGCTATGAAATTCATCAATTTTTGCTTGGAGTTATGTGAATCCATTATTTTGTTTGACTGTCATAATTTTGATATTATATCTGATGAAAATTATACTGTATTTCCCCTAAATTTCTTACATTGACATGAAGAGGATTCTATGTTATTATGCGAGTCATTTTCATAAGATTTTATTTGGACAATCCAAATGCTATACTTGAGTGAGTTGATTAAAGCTTCATTTGAGACTGTTTTCTTATTGCTGTTTTAAGCAGTAGTAAGAATTTGCCCCAAACGAAATCTAAAACTCGAGATCGCATTCAAATTTAGGCTTTGTTTGGGACGGCTTTCTTCTTGTTTTTTAAAGCAGTTTTTTAGTACAAAAATTAAAAAAAAAAATTGTACTAAAAAATAGCTTTTTGTTTCTATTGCCTTTTCTTTTTCGTCTCGTATATTTTCTACATTTTTTATATGGAAGAACTAAGGTTTCCCCATCTGCAAGAAAAAAAATGGCAGAAATACAAAATTAAAAAAATTAATAAATAAAAATTAATGCATATTCAGAATTTCTCCTTCAAAGTGTGACTCTCAATAAATTATTAATTAGTATAATTTTCCAAGTAGACATATTGTTTCTCACTGTTATTGATTTAGTGGCTGAGGATATTACATCATTGGATTGTGAGAAATCACTATTAAGAAGCAAAAAAGACATTATTGTAGGGAAAAATTAATATTATCATGTTAGATATAGTAGTTGATGATGACAAGGAGCCTCTACTTTATAGAAATGCAATATTCTTGTGATACAATTATTGTTTTCATCATTTCCTTTTTTGTATCTAATAAGTGCCTATATCATTCACCAAGGTACATATAATAATCTCTTGATTGATATATCTTCCAAAAAAAAATCAAAAAAAAAAAAAAATCTCTCTCCTAGGTAAAAATTCCTCTTTTTTTTTTTTTAAAGTATTATGCTTATCTCTTAGTAATTTATCAAATTTAACACTTTTGTTGTTAGGTCTTACGTTTTGTATGAGAATAGTAAAAGGTCGTGGTAGGTAGTCGACAGCCAGTGTAAAATTTGTTAAATAATCATGACATGAATCTTTTGAAAAGATTGGAGTCTCCAGTGAAAAATAAGATTAGAGAGTTGCCATAGATGATTTGCTCACATAAAACGGCGGCCTTTCGATAATCTGGTTAGGAAAGTAGATTAGATTTGACATATGTTAAAAAAGGTAGATGTAGACCTAAAGGGATTTGGTTAAACAATATTAGAAATGACCCTTTTTTTAATTAAAAAAATAGAAATCACGTTTTTTTATTATATTTAAATTAGAATTTGACTCTTAACATGACACAATGGAGAAAAAGGATTCATGTAGCCGACCCCACGTGGTAGAATAAAAACTTGATGTTGTTGTTGTTGTACAATATTGTGTAGGTGTATCATATTTGCTATAATTAAACTTTTAAGCACTATCTTTGTTTCCTACTATTTTAATTAAAATATATGATCTTAATCTTTCTTTGAAATATATTAATAACAAAATAATAATGGAAGTAATATACTTAATGTTGAGTCTTGAAAAATTTGCGGCGGCAGAGAAATATAAAATTTAGCATTCTAGTATTATATGAAGTCCCAACACACAATCAGATAAAAAGATGGGTGTAATATTCATAAGAGATCAAAATTTTTATGTGGAAACCTCTAAAAAGGGAGAAAAATCACGGGATTTGGCCTAATTTGAATGAATCCACTAGTGTTTGCAGTTGATTACAAATAAGGTCCTTCTGTGGGGGGAAGGCTTTGGCTTGATGTTGCAAATATACATCTATAGGGTGCATTACATAATAGAAGTTGAAAGAATCAATGTTTACATATTCGTTTGGTAGGCAAGATCATAGTCGGCGAGTGATGTAGGTTGGAAGGATTATAGTCGGGCGACGGAGGTCGGAATGACCATAAAATGAGGGCTTATTTTTAGATTTTTTAGAGTGGTATGACATGTAAATAATAAGAAGATCAAGGGCAAGTTGGGAGTGTTCAATTGGACGGCCCATAATAATTCCCTTGATTATAGAGTGTTTATTGAGCATTTGGGTGTCTTAAAGATGTCATAATTCAATGATATTGGGCTCATTAGACCAGTATCGCCGAGTCGCTCGATTCGACTATAAGCATGCCATATTCAGATATCATTGGATAATCTAATTAATGTTCGAAAACTCTCAAATAGATTTTGGACATTTGATTTGGGTTCATTTGTGCTCGGATTGAATCAAATTTGATGCCATTGGATCCGTCTCCTTGAGATATTCAATATGACTATAAGCTTGTTGGAGTTGGAGATCGGATGGTCCCCATTTTAATTTTTGACCTCAATCTCATATTTGCATTGAGATTCGTGCATGATCAAGCCAATTTTTGATGATATATCACTTAATAATTCAATTTTAAATTCTTTTGAAAGAATATAAGAAATTTATGTATACTTAATGCATGTTCAATTATAATAGTAACTGTGAAAATGAGGTAATTTTTTTTTATTGATTTTTATAGTAATTTTTTAATATAATTTAATATAATAATAATAAAAAATAGTGGCAAATAATTATTTCATGCTAAGCGTTAGAGTTTTAGACAGAATGGTTTATCTTAATATAATTTAGATCATCCTACCACTAAATGATAGGTAGATGCCGCCACCGCCATTGTACTAAGTGGTTAAGAAGTGATGTCATGCCTTCCGATCATATATTAAAAAAAAAGGATAAATATATGTAGCACTGCTCATCGTTGAATAAATAAATAACAAAACCAAAATTCTTCCTCTTTTGTTCAATTATTTTTTAAAATATTCAATGGATGAGCATGGTTGGAAGGCTCTAATTCATATTCGATTCCCCTCTCATACGACGGAACAATTATTACGTCCTCCGACCGGATGTAGAGGAACGTCCGGTCGGAGGTCAAATCGCGCCACCGAGCTAATACCGAGCAATACCAAACAATAACGAGGAATACCATCACATGAAGACCCAATACCGAGTTATACTGAGCAATACCGAGTTATACAAAAGTTGTACCAAGTTTTTCCTAGAAAAAACTCGGTATTGCTCGGTATAGCTCGGTATAACTCGGTATTGATCTTCACAGAGCGGTATTCCTTGTTATTATCAAATAATACCTAGTAATATCGAGCAAATACAGAGTTTTTTGGTGGAATTTTGCCTCAGACCGGACGTTTCTCTACATCCTTACACTGGACCTAATAAAAGTTCCATACGGCGAGACTTCTTAAATGGGGAGAAATAATTGCGGGCCCTGCATCGATGGAACGTTTATTTGGTCCGGTGAAAGGACGTAAAGTTACGTTCGGCCGGCACTAAATTGCGCCACGTAGCAGGTACAAAACCACGTATTTGTCGATTTTGCTCGGCAATAACGAGAAATACCATTATGTGAAGATAAAATACCGAATAATACTGAGCAACACCAAGCAATACCGAGTTTTTTCTAGAAAAATCGGTATTACTCAGTATTGCTCGGTATTATTCAGTATTGGTCTTTACAGAGCGGTATTTGTCGTTATTGCCAAACAATACCGAGCAAATACCGGGTAAGTCAGTGGTGACCGCACGTAGAGCTACGTCCGTTTACCGGACCTAATAATTGTTCGCATCGATGGGGCTAATTACTGGTAGGCTCGCTGATGAATTAATTACGCCGTCATGCCTCTCCTATGAGGGTGATTACAGGCAGATAATTCAAAACCTTTAGATTGATAATTAAACTATCAAGAAACATATCAAAGTTTTTTAAAAATATTTAGACAATTAATTTAAAACTTTTTAATTGATAATCAAGATTTTTAACTAATAGTTCAAAATGAGTTGGGTCAAACATATCAAAGTGAGCTGCGTCTGTTTTGTTCAGTCAGGCGTGACTGAGGAAGAAAATAACGCCGGCGAACGTCGACTGTTCGTCAGATTGATTTTGACTGCTCGCTTGCTTTTGGGTTGTTAGCTGACGATGGTTCAGCGAATCAAACCCGTAATCTTTCTCTCTTTCTCGTCGTCCCCACCATACAAAAAAATTCGAGAAAAGCCGAGCAGAAAGGCCCACTCCATTATTATAAAGACAAAGTTTTCTCTGTTAATCCTCTTCCTCACACTTTCCCTTTTTCCGTAGTAGACCATCCCTCTCAAAGCTCTCCTCTTCATCTTCATCTTCATCATCATCATCATCATCTTCTTCTTCTTCTACTTTTAAATAGCTATCCTACTTTTTATCACAACCGAGCCTTTTCCACTCTCTTATTTTCCTTCTCTGCCTTCATACTGTTTTCTTCATCTGGTCGCTTATGGGGGAAATGAAGGTAAACATACGCTTTGAATACTTCTGGCGTTTCCAATATGGTTGATTTGTGTCTTATTTTTTGTTCAAGCCTGCTTCTGGCAATCTGTGAGAAGAAAGGAGGCTCCTTTTATAAAAAAAAGGAGAATCCTTTATAGTTACTATTCGAAAGCACTTGTTTTGATTCGAATCTTGCAGAAATCCGATTTCCTTTAGTTTTTTTACAAAGTTTAATTTTGTTTTTAAAGTTGGAATCTTGTCGATCTCGTTGTGATTTTATTGCAGAAACTTATTTTGAAACTAGACTTGCATGACGATAAAGACAAGCAGAAGGCTTTGAAGGCAGTCTCCACTCTTCGAGGTATCATCAATTAATATTTCTAATTTCTATTTCTAACTTTCTATCTGACTTTTCTGCTCTGATAGGAATTGATATGATTGCCATGGACATGAAGGAGAGAAAACTTACAGTGGTGGGAAGTGTGGATCCCATTGATGTGGTGAACAAACTAAGGAAGTTTTGGCACACCGACCTCCTTTCAGTTGGGCCTGCAAAAGAGCCTGAGAAGGAGGAAGCTAAGAAAGAAGAAGCAAAGAAGGAGGAACCAAAGAAGGAAGAGCCAAAGAAGGAAGAACCGAAGAAGGACAAACCTGAGAAGAAAAAGGAAGAAGCCAAGAAAGAAGAGATCAGTCCTCAAGAGCAGATGATCATGGATCTTGTCAAGGCTTACAAGTCTTACAATCCTCAGATGACCACTCACTACTATGTTCACAGTGCAGAGGAGAACCCGAATGCTTGCGTTATTTGCTAATTAATTTCTGTGTGTCGGTAAATAAACATCAATGAGAAATCTTGGATATAATAGAGCGAATAGTTTTTTTTTTTACAGCTTATTTCTCTGTTTAGATATCGTTTCTTCAATGCTTTTTATAAAGTTTTGTGGTTGTAGCATATTTTTGAGGAACAGTTGTTGAATGAACTCTGTTATTGTTGCAGTTGTTTTACTTAATAACAATGGATTGCTGTGAACTTATTACAAATGTTTTGTTACAAGTTTTTGCGTCGGAGATTATTTTTCCTCTATTATTTACAAGTTTTCTTCACTGTTCAAGTTGACATGGATATTCCTCTGTGAGTATTAAAAGTTGATAATTTTGTCCACAAGATTGCAGTCAGTTCTTCTGGAACTTTTATTATATCCAGTGAACGTATGCAGAGGAACGTTCGGTTTTAGTCAAAAAAGCGCTTGTACTCAGTTTTTTGAAAAAACTCGGTACACCTCGGTACTCGGTATAGGCGATTTTTTGCCTAAAACCGAACGTTCCTCTGCGTACGTTCACTGGATAAAATAAAAGTTCGTTCTTCTGAGGTACTGAAGCTGCTTGCGACTTCTTTTGGGATGATTTTCTTAGTAAATTTTTAGTATAAAAATTAACAGAATGGAATTGCTTTGTTGAAATGGAGAAATTATTCCGTGGAGTTCGGACGGGAAAGTTCAGTCCGGACTGTGAGTGTATAGATTGCGTACACTGCGTAAAAATTATGTACACAATTTGGTTCAAACTATATAGACACTATTTGTACATAAAGTGTACACTCACAGTTTCTGTGCTTTTTAGACTTTTTAATTAGATCATTCTCATCGTCATTAGTCTTACCTTAGTTATGTAAGCTCAGTTTTACACACTCTCATTCTGTTCTTTTGTTTAATCCTATGTGAGATATTAAACTAATTTTAATGGACTTTTCTTTCAGTTATTTATTATAATCAACCTCTTTTTAGTAATGCATATCATAATTTCTACCCATTCTTTTATATAAAAGCCATTTAAATCATTTTTATTTTATTTTATTTTTAATCAATCTAAATGATATCATCCTATAATACAATCATTTTCAATCTTTTAATTTAATTGTCATAAATCCATTTAATGGAGAGACAAATCAATATCACTATAAAAAATGTTCTTAACAATCTTTCATGATTGTCCATCCTCACATAATAATTAAATTTTCTCATTTAAATAATAACAATCACAATGGTAAAATTCTCATAATCTCAACACCGCCGGATAAACAAATATTTAAAAAACTGTTTTCTAATACATAAATTTCTTAAAAATAATGAAAAAATAATAACCAAATAAAATTTATGATGATGATCTAAAAAATAAAACAGAAAAAATTTCTCTATCTGCTCAGAAAACCTTTAGGGTTTAGTGGGTGAGAATTAGGGGTGTAAACGAGTCGAGTCGAGTATTTGCCTTATCAAGCCTAGCTCATTTAATACTTATGAGTTCGAGCTCGATTAGTGGGCTTGAGATCGACTCGTTTAGAAAATATCAAGCTCGAGCTCGACTCGAAAGCTCGAGCTCGTTTGAAAAGTGATGCGTATTATTAACGAGTCGAGTTCGAGCCAGCTCACAAGCCGGCTCGGCTCACTTACGAGCCGGCGCTGCTAACTAATAGCAAATAGTCATTAGTCTAAGAGTCCTAATCTTATCATTCCCTAAAGAAAGAATCTAGACCGGTCTGAACTTTATCTGTAACTTTTTCTATTATTGTTGTCCTTGTATGTGTGCGAGTGAACCCCGCCTTTAAGAAATCTTCTCTATAAATAGAAGCATTCAACAAGAGAAAGGGTATCAGTTTGTAATACCTAAGTTTGAAGTGCAATAATAATTGGCTTTTAGCATTGTAAGTTCTTCTATTCTTCTGATCTTCTTTCTGAACTTTTTCGTTCTGCAATTTACATCTGCAATTTACTGTACATCTGCAATTTACTGTATTTCCGCAGATCTGCTCTGAATTTTTTATGATTTTTTTTTTTTGGGAAATATTTTGATTTCTTTATTAGAGTAAAAAGAATCCAAATTGGATTTGTCTTTCACTGCCTAATTCGAATATCAGCGTCCCAGTTGCCATCAAGTTTCTATTTATTTATCTTTTTCGGGGGCCCATAGCTAATATTCTATTGATCCCAAAAATTTAGCTATTTAAAAATAGAAAATGAATTTAATTATATTTAAATTTTATTATTTGTTTGGATGTAATTAGTGGCTCATTAATTTGATTGGAAAACATGATTTAAAAAGTGATGGTTTTTTTTTCACACATTTTTTCTAGGGTGTCAAAATAAGTCTACCAGTTAACCCGGGTCTAAACAAGTCAACCTGAACCAGACCCACGAGAATTACCTGGTTGACCGGACACAACCTACCGACCCTTTGATTAAAAAAAGGGCGAAACTACGAGTGCAACGTTAGGCAACACGGCAGGCGAGGCGGCACGGCGGCAATGGCTAGCTCGACTTCGTATGGCAGCACGGCGGCAGAACAGTGGAAGGCTCATATTGCCTCAAGTCAACTGTTATCATGAAAAATATTTGAAAAGACTTGGAAATTTTTTGAAGTTATTGCAATCTTTTCTAGAATTATTTTGCAAATCATTTGAGGAAATATACTCCTCTTGAAGAGGGCAACATATCCTTTGTAAGTAATGAAGGGGCATTCCTAAAATTGTATCTAGTAAGCATTTTCAAGCTTATCATTAACAATGCTAATCATTAAAGACTATCCTACCTGCTGCAATGGTGACATCAAGTTGGGCATTGGCGACGCTATTAACATTAAACCCACCGCATATTAAAGTGATGATTGTCACGCAACTCATCTAGCTTGATCTATCAATCAAGAGCTCTTGGGCTCGAGTCTTGTATATATAATGCGTGTGTGAGTTTACCTTAATTGATCTAACTGTCCCAAAAAAAAAAAAATGATGATCGTCTTGCGGGGAAACAGTTGAAGAAAAGATGATGTATATATCCCATTTATGGCCGCATATGACAATAATGATGTTAAACCCACTTTGTATGAAAACGATCATATCACTTTTCCCACTAACAATTGAAAAGCACACAATCCTCATCTCTTATATAAAGTCGTTCAACTCATCATTTTAGCTGTACCAATCCCATTGCATGTCATAACTGAAAGGAGAAATTATTGTCCGGAGATTGGACGGTTTTGCAAATACTCAGAAAAAGACAGCAAATATGCAATTATGAATGCACTTTTGCTGGGTATTTCCTATGCTTTTATAAAAGGGCGGCAACAGCGCAATAAATATCCTACTAATTGAATATTTGTTGTGCTTTTATTGCCCTTTTGTAAAAGCGCTGCAAATACTCGGCAAAAGTGCATTCATAATTGTATATGCTGAGTATTTGCAAAAGTGCAGCAAAATGGTTGTAAAAGCGCAACAAATCCGGACGGTTCTCGCCGTCTGGTCTCCGCACAAAATAATCTCTCCTAAATTTGAGCCTAAAATGAGCCTCTAGAGCACGAGCTACAACCTGGGAGAAAATAACCCACTTAAGCCTCGAGAGGAGCAAGTTGGCCTAATTAGATTATATGCTCTTAGTAGAATTCAATTGGCCAAGGGTCTTTCCAACTCCTTTTGGTTAGCTAGATAGATAAGGATTTCAAATTCAACCAAGATGCTATCAGAAAGTTACTAAGTATTGGAAGTCAAACCACTAAGGGTGGTCGCTTGGCTAGTTTTAATATATCACATACGCAGAAAACATAGTATCCTCATATAATACAAAGATATAAAGTAAACCATAGAATAATATTGACCTCTCTTACTGCATAGGTAAATTTTAGAACTAGAAGACCAAGACTCTCTACTCTAGAGCCATAGAAGTTCTACATTATCAAGCTAGTACATTCAACTTATACCCACTAAATATTGTATTGTCTTACATATGGATCTTAATAGATCACCAAAGCAACCATTCTCTAGCTAGAGAGGATAGAAGAGGCAAAAGAAATGGTCCATCATATAAAAGGTGATGAATTAGGTTGACTCATCACATATGATTCATGACGCAATCAACAAAGAATTCTTGCAGATGGACTGTAAGAGATCACCAAAGCAACGCTTCTTAAAAACTCAACTCCGGTGAAGAGAAGAGGCGTTAGTATGAAGGGATGGTTCTCCAATATGTGGGTGGCAGCCCAAATAAACTCCTAATATATTGGTTATCAAGATGAGAGATCATCGAGTAGCTTTACAAGATGTTTGGAAACATAAACCCTATATGCATGCCCAGAGCGAAAGGCATAGGCTGATTTATCATATCTAACATACCATTTAGAAACTCTATCTACTTTTTAGGAACATATATTAACCAAATTTATTCAAATTTTAGAGAAAATATTTTGCGATTACCTAAATAATATATACCCTAAGAGCCTATTAGCCATGTGTTTATACATTGGGATATGTCGTGTCATGTCAAGAGTTATATATTTAACCTAAAAAGTCACTCCATGTGCGAAGCTAGGGATTCTCCGCATCCGGAGCTAGGGCTTCGCGCCCAACTCTCCCTGGGCTTCTCCCGGTAGTTTCTCTCCGGCAACGCTCCGCCGTTGCCGCGCCTCTAGCTTTAGGGAAGTTCCTTCCTCCCTTTGGTTTTCTTGTCGTGCATTTTCGTTTGTTTTCTGCTTCGTCCCCTTCGGTCCTTCGTGCCCTGAATTAGATCCTGATTTTTTGGATGTATCTAAGAAGTCGTGTTCTTTCTTGGGTGCTTTATCTGGTTCTGTATCAGATGTTTGTTTTCACGTTAACAAAACGGCTACCTATCGTGGTTTACCTGCTGTGTGGATTTCAGAGGAGATTATTTCGCTGGCGGCACCCTTCCAGTTTGCCTTAGTTGGTTTTTTTTCCTTCCTGTCGTCCTAGCTTGGATACTATCCATAGGTTTTTTTTCAACCTTAAGCTATATGCAGATTTCTCTGTAACCTTGCTTGACTCCCCTCATGTGCTGATTAAATTGAAAAAATGACCTAGATTATAGCAGGGTTTTCTGTCATCGTTCTTACCTTGATTATAATTGCTACATGAAAGTTACCAAATGGTCTCCTTCCCTTGATATCGGTGTTGAATCCTCTATTATTCCCATTTGAATTTCTTTCCCCAATTTACGGCTCATTTATTCGCTCCCAAAATCCTCCATGCATTGGGTTCTTTGTTT